CCTGACTCTGCCATATACAAAGTTAGAGAGACAGAGAGAAAGAAGCAGTTAAAAAATCCAAAGCATTTTAGGTACAATTTCTACTTTTTAATCAACAGACCAAAGAATATCCCAATCTTATTATGAGGCAGATTTTTTCCCCACAGTAAGTTGCCATTTCTTTCTGCGGTAGACTAGTTGCCATCCAAGGCTATAGAAACCGGACTATCCTGCTATTTACCCATAGCTGGGGGGAGAAGAAGAGGATTCATACCTTTCCCAAGGATATTAGAACGTAAGTGAATGTAATGGATTTGACTGCAAAGTCAGTCAGTCAGCCAGTTATGTGTCATGCGTGATACACGCTTAGGCGATCATGTATCTTTCCATGCATAACTGAAAAAGCAAATTTTTCCCCAAAGTAAGTTGCCATTTTATTCTGTGGTAGACCAGTTGCCATCCAAGGCTATAAAACCCGGTCTGTCCTGCTATTTATCCATAGCTGGGGAGAGAAGAAGAGGATTCATGCCTTTCCCAAAGGTATTAGCACGTAAGTGAATGCAATGGATTCGACTGGGAAGTCAGTCAGTCAGTTATGTGCCATGCGTGATAAACGCTTAGGCGATCATGTATCTTTCGATACATGAATGACGAGGCAGATTTTTTTCCCGCAGTAGTTTTTCATTTCTTTCTGCGGTAGACCAAGGCTATAGAACCCGGTCTGTCCTGCTATTTACCCATAGCTGGGTGGGGGTGAAGAAAAAGAGGAGTCATAACTTTTCCAATGGTATTAGCACGTACTGGTTTTTTATTTTGTTCAAACATGAAATTAATATCCTAGATTGAGTAGTCATATTTTCGAAAAATGTGACCCCTACGAAAGAATCGAATGTGTATTCTCTTTTTCTATCAGTAAATCAATATATAAATTATAAAATATTTTGATACGAGCGTAGGATCTTAGATTTTGAGTAAAGATACCTTGGCTTACAGTTTGGGACAATATACACGGTTTTCAATCTGAATTGGTTTGCTTGGCAGGAGAATAAAAAAAAAGGCAAACATAATTTTGGAGTGGACGAAAGTTAATTAGATATTGGTTTGATGTAGACGAGAGTAAAATTATCGACACACGTTGGGTTTTCACGGAAGACAAAAAGAATGACATTGGTGTGTTTTTCATGTGATTTCTAGCGTTTCAAAATGGCTGACATAGATTACTTTGCGCAAGTGTCAAAAAGGTAGACACAGGTTTGGTTTGCCCGAGAGACAAAAAGGTGGACATATATAGGCTTTGTTTACACACGTCAAAAATGTATATATAGGTTTGGTCTGCATGAAAGTTATAAGATTAGCCATTGGCTTGATGTGGACAAGTGTAAAAAGTGTAGACATACGCTGGGCTTTCACGGAAGACCAAAAGATAGACAAAGTTTTGTACGAGTGATAAACAGATACACATTGGGGTGGCTTGCATGAAATTCTGAAAGGTAGGTTTGTACGAATGCGAAAAAGATAGATATATATGTGGTTTCTATTGGACGAGAGACAAAAATGTAAATATTGGATAGGTTTGTATGAAAGATGAAAAAGTTGACATTGGTTGTTTTTTTATAAAAGACAGAGAAGTAGATATAGGTTTGGTTTTGACAAGAGACAAAAGGTTAAACATTCTTAGAATAAACATGTGACCCCTTTTTTGTGGCTAGTTTAAACTTCTCTACGTGCATGCAATCGGCGTATTCTTGACCCCAACCAGAGCAGAGTAAATTTGGTTAAGAGATGCTAATTTCCTTTGCTTGAACAGTCTAGAAACTCTTGCATGAAAGACAAGCCCCAAGACATTCAAAGGACAGGAAGCTGTCCAAACAGTGTCCAGTCGGTCAATAACAAAACAAAATGCTTAACCGGCTGCTGTAAATGGATTAATTGGTCGGAATAGTGTCATATATGTTTTTTTTTCTGAAGAAGAGACCTACCAGCGGGCAGTTCCTGAAGCGTTTGAAATCATTTATCTAATGCAATGTCGGGTTGACGGAAAATGTCTTGCAGTACTGGAATGGTTAATGAGGAATATTTGAGAACCAGAGTGCCATAACGGTTTGAAAATGAGCTTCTTTGCCGAAAGGCGTACTTGATAATACTTTATCAGACTTGTGACGCTAATAACATAAGAGGTGTTGCTGGGTGGTGAATGGAAGGGGATAAGTTGAAAATGAAAAAGGGAAAAGTGATATGAATGGAAAGGCCATTGAGAAATATCCAGTTGGGAAAAAAAGGAGAAAGAAACAATCAATTATGACGAATGTTATGTCACATGATCAGATTATTTATTATGTCAAATAAAATTACTATCTGAATATATATATATATATATATATATATATATATATATATATATATATATATATATATATATATATATATATATATGGTATCAAATGACAATTGGAAAAAAATCTTACATTTTGCCGACGCGTTTCGTCTTCCGACTTTTTCAAGGCAAAAATGAAATCGAAATGTTTTTGTTGTTATAGTTACATTAAAATCCAAATTTAAAAAAGATAGACGCTTCTGTCTAAGCCATTTTTTTCTGGTTAATGTAAATTACTTTTATAGTAAGGAATTATTTTTTTTTCCATGTCGACAATATAGTTAAATTCCCAGATGAATTCTTTTAAAATTTGGATTTTTAATGTAACTATAACAACAAAAACACTTCGATTTCATTTTTGCTTTGAAAAAGTCGGAAGACGAAACGCGTCGGCAAAATGTAAGATTTTTTTCCAATTGTCATTTGATACCAATCTGTCTTGTCCACAGAATTCATCTGGGAATTTAACTATATATATAATCAACTCTCCCGTCGAGATTCGACGTACGAGGGTCAAGCAGATCAGTTTCCAGGAAACCGACAGCCCGACACCGGCACATCAGATTTGATTATAGTGGTGAAGGCCTCGTGCAGGACCATCCACACTTTTTGAAGGGACGAATACCGAGACCTGGTGCACCGAATGCCACAAGGTTCCCAAACGACCCTTCGCAGGTTTTGAATTCAGAGTTGTCATTCTCCTAGACCAGTTGTCATCCAAGGCTATAGAACCCAGTCTGTCCTGCTATTTACCCATAGCTGGAGGGAGAGGAAGAGGATTCATACCTTTCCCAAAGGGGTATTAGCACGTAAGTGAATGTAATGGATTCGACTGAATTTGAACTCAGCTCTGCGATTCCTCAATCCAGCCACTATCCATTACTCCACCGTGCCTCTCTTTCTTTTTCTCTCTCTCTCTCTCTCTCTCTCTCTCTCTCTCTCTCTCTCTCTCTATATATATATATATATATATATATATATATATATATATATATATATATATATATATGTCCAGATGACCTAGTTTTCCATAAACTATATATATATATATATATATATATATATATATATATATATATATATATATATATATAGTTTATTGAAAAACTAGGTCATCCGGACGAGTAAACTTCAGTAGGATAAAATCCAGAGAGCTCAATGTAAATTTTACACACACACATATATATATATGTGTGTGTGTGTGTGTGTGTTATTATATATATATATATATATATATATATATATATATATATATATATACCTGGCACAACAGGGCTCCGTCCCTGTGCTGGTTGTATCACGGCTATGACTAGCTTAGGTTAGCTCTAACCAGCTTGGACAAGCTATGACCAGCTAAGACCATCTTAGACCAGCGGCCCGAGTGAAAACACTCGAATCCCCAGGATAAAAACTGACCTTGTGTCACAACCTGACTCAGTAGGGGATCAAGTAATTATCTATCTATCTATCTATCTATCTATCTATCTATCTATCTATAAATATACAGTTTTGGTTAAATAATTTAGACATATCATACCGATTAGTTTTCGTTGTTATCCTTTCAAGTTAGCGGATTAATTTATTAACTTGTTAGCCTTAAAAAATTGAGTAAGAAAAATACCAAAATTTTCCTTCGAATGATTTTTATTTTCCCAAATACTTGCAATCTCATCTGAGACCATCTTTTGAGGGTTAAGTGGTATGTGACTATGTATATGTGTTTCTGGGAATTTTAAATATTTCATCCGTTCGTTTTTTTACTGCTTATGCAGCGTTTTAAATTTCAAAGTTCACGTGTTCTTTTGTTGTTGTTTTTTCAGTGTAAGCGAAGTAACTTTTTTCTTCACACGTGTATAATATTTTTTTCATAAACATTGAACGGTTTTTTGATATAATCATAGTTTAATTTGCGTGTTAACTCTCTTATATAACGGGCTTCAAGGATTATTAGTTTTTGCTTGTTATTGTTTATATGAAATATAAATGTATTTTCAACTAATATTCATCTAATCTGTGAGTGTGGGCATGAATGTTACTTTCGTGTTGATATATTGAGCTATGTACAGCCAAATGAAATGCCAGCATTTTTGTTAGCATCGTCGTAGTAAAGCCAACGTACGTATTGGCATTTTTATCAGCGATAAAATCTTCTAATTTATATTTAAATTTATATACAATGATGGCATTTTGGAAGATGCTACTTGGCGAAGAAAAATTGATTTGGAAAACTAGGTTGGTTGAATTAAATTTAGTGTATGGTTAATTTTATTTTTTTTACTTAAATCAGTGGGAGATATATTAGTGTTTATGAGAGTTTTTTTTTTAAATTTTCCTCCTTTTTATAGTTAGAATGCATATGATATAATAATTTCAAATGATTAGAGTTATTTCATGATTAATTTGTATTCATTTTTATTTATGTTAATATTTCTAATGGCTTGTCTAATTTGTTCATCAACAATGTAATTAGGGAAGTCATTATTAATGAGGGTTTGTTTAATATTTTTTTAATTCAATGTAGAATATATATATATATATATATATATATATATATATATAAACACAAATAAAGAGAAAGAACAAACATTAAGAATTCACACTGTCTACCATTTACTTTTTTTAAAAAGTGTTAAACGTAGAGCACAATATTATTATAGTATTTTACAGTGCCATACAAAATTATGTCATAATATAACCACTATCTGAATGAATATATATATATATATATATATATATATATATATATGTTTGGATTGATGTGAGTTTGTAACCCTGGGTTTCACGCTTTTGCGATCGTCAGGCAAACTCTAATTTCTAATAAGTACCGCATATGATATATAAATATATATATATATATATATATATATATATATATATATATATATATATATATATTCATATTTATATAGGTATCTTTTCACACACACACACATATATATATATATATCACTCTGTTCATTATCTATCTATCTATCTATTTATATCATGCATCTCAGTCTCTTCATTATTCATCTATCTATCTATCTATCTATCTATCTATCTATCTATCTTACACTGTTAATATCTATCTATCTATCTATCTATCTATCTATTCCATTCTCTTTCTCTCCCTCTCTCTTTCAATCATTTACCGTTTGTTGTTGATCTATCTATCTATCTATCTATCTATCTATCTATCTATCTATCTATCTATCTATCTCTATTCGTATCTATCTATCCCAGTCTCTTCGTATCTATCTATCTATCTATCTATCTATCTATCTATCTATCTATCTATCCAATTTTTTTTTTATTTTATTCGTTTCCTTACAAATTTCTTATACTGTTTTTCGGTTCTGTCTATCTGAAAGCAATAAAAATGGCCGTTGTCTATTTTGACGTTTCTTTGACATATTTTTCTCTCCAGATTTTAATGGTTTGCAAATCATCATCTAACGATTATCATTTTCTCCCCCTCCCCTTCTCTTGGTATTTTCCGCCTATGTCTCTCCTTGCAGTAATTTTCAGAGTTCAATTTTCCTTTTTAAATTTTCTCGCTCACATCTTCTGTCTCTCTCTTTCTTATTTGCAAATTATCTTTAAATTTTCGTTTTAAAAATTACAAGTCTTGACTCCAAGTCTTCGGAATTTGCGAGCCTATCAGCAGTGAATCCGAATTTAGCCCCAAGAATTCTCCGCCCACCAATCTGTAAGTGGACGAGAAAGTTAACAAGAGAGAATTGGTAACGATCGTCAGAAAGAAGGCATTTTTAGGATGGAATAACTTACTTGCCGGAATGATAACGAAGAAAATAAATTAAAACAACAATATCGAACAAGAAAGAATGAAAGAAAAAAGAAAGAATGAAAAGAAAAACGAAATAAAGAAGAAGAATAAAAAAAGAAAAAAGACGATCGAACGAATGAAAGAAAGACGAAAAAACCAAAGAAAGAAAGAAAGAAAGAAAGAAAGAGGAAGGATGGGTGAAAGAAAGAAAGAAAGAAAGAAAGTGTTGAATCTTGACTAATGCATGGAATAATAATGCAACACAAAATGTACTTAGAACAAAATGTATTGAAACAAGAAAGTGTACACAATATTTATTTATTGGTCTTTTGTATATTCCTGGTAAGACCGTTCCTGGAGAATGTGTTAACTTAGTCGCAGTCGGGCAGAGTCTTTGGATTGAATCTCTTGATTCCTCTCCTCTCTTCCCGGTACCAACCATATTTATATGGTCGGTACTCCACTATGCAAATTAGGTGGATCCTACTACAACAGAAAGAAAGAAAGAAAGAAAGAAAGAAAGAAAAGACCGGTGAGAAGGAAGCTGAAATATAGAAAGAGAAAAGGAAATCCAATGTATATTTGTAAGTATTATGAAATGAAAAGAAAGAAAGAAAGAAAGAAAGAAAAGACCGCTGAGGAGGAAGCTGAAATATAGAAAGAGAAAAGGAAATCTAATGTATATTTGAAAGTGTTATGAAATGAAAAGAAAGAAAGTTATATACCGTACCTATGAACACTAATGGCTATGTCCTAATCCTCATAAATACATTAGGACACGATTGTAAGTGGGGGTAATATGGTGTCTAAGTAGTCCACCACTTGCAGTTGTTTACCTACTTCCTGTTGCTGGCGAGTATTGTATTTTGTTGATGTTATAAAGATTACCATTTTTATTTCCAACCTCCGTTTTGGTTATTCCTCATCCAGTAATCCATTCTAGATTACAACAGAGAGAAAAAAGAAAGAAAGAAGGAAAGAACAAAGAGAAATAAAGAAAGAATAGGAACAGAAGAAAGAAATACAAAGAAGGAAAAGAAAGAAAGAAAGAAGAAGAAGAAGAAGAAGAAGAAGAAGAAGAAGAAGAAGAAGAAGAAGAAGAAGAAAGGGCTAAGAGATAGAAAAGTGTGGAGAAAAAAAAACAAGAAAGAAAAAATAAGAAAGAAGAAAATGAGGAGAAACAGAAATAGATAGCGAGAAGAAAAATGAAGGGGAAAAAGAAGAGAAATAAGAAGAGGTGTAGAAGAGAAAAAAGAAAAAAAAGAAAGAGGCGAGGAAGAAAAGGATTAGAAATAAGGTGAGAAAAGAAAGAGAGGAAGAGAAAATGAAGAAAAGAGTTAAAAAAAAAACGAAGAAAAATGAAGTTAAGAAGATAAAACATAAGTAAATAATTGAGTAAACAAATGGGGAAAAAGATCCACTTAGGAAAATGAAAAAAAAGACGAACAAACCAAAGAAACCGTCCCAATCTTCATAAATAACGTTGGACACTATTGTAAGTGGGGGTAATATGGTGTCTATGTAGTCCATCACTAGCAGTGGTTTACCTACTTTACGCCGCTGGCGAGTGTTGCCTTTTGTTGATGTTATAAAGATTACCATTTCATTTCCGACTTCTTTTCTGGTTATTCCTTATTCAGTAACCCTTTCTAGGTTACAACACTTTCTTTCTTTTCCTCAATTTTCTATTTTTGTTGATTTTCTTTCTTTCTTTCTTTCTTTCTTTCTTTTCTTTCTTTCTTTCGTTTGTTCTTTCTTTCTTTCTTTCTTTCTTTCTTTCTTTCTTTCCCGTACCTATAAACACTAATGTGTATGTCCCAATCCTCATACGTTGGACACTAGTGGGGTTAATAGGGTTAAAAAAAAGAAAAGAAAAAAAAAGCAGAAATAAAAACTAAATTCCATTGAAACAAAATTAAGAAGAGAAGTCAGGCTCAAAATGACTAATCTGTTAAAATATTTCATTGCGTCGGAAAATCTTTTTAGAAATACTGACAATTGGCTTTTGTTTATACAGAATGTTGTAAGCTTTTTCTTTTTATTGTTGCATCCTGTCAATATCTATCGATATACATTCCTATCTATCCATATCTACCCCGATCTATCCATATTTATCAATATCTAAACTTATGGATCGATATCTATGCGTATCTATCAATATCAATCCTTATCAATCCCTATCTAGCCATATCTATTCATATCTAATCTTATCGATCCCTATTTACACCTATCCATTCATATCTATCCCTTTCTATCCATATTTATATCTAAACTTATGGATCGATATCTATGCGTATCTATCAATATCAATCCTTATCGATCCCTATCTAGCCATATCTATTCATATCTAATCTTATCATTCCCTATTTACACCTATCTATTCATATCTATCCCTTTCTATCCATATTTATATCTAAACTTATGGATTCATATCTATACCAATTTATCCGTATCTATCCCTATCTATCTATATATGTCCCCATGTACACTATTTACATTATTCAGACTATTGTCCCAATCTTTGTCGCCACGTATATCACAACTTTTCGGCCGTTGTACGCACCGGCCATCTTCAGGTGGTTGGAATGTCGAAATTCTTTGCTTGGTCGGCTCAGGAAATGAATACAGTATGGGAACCAGTTATAAGGAGTTCCAGAGAAAAGCGATAATAACAACAAAAATTTCAATATGAGCTCTGGTAAAAAAATGGTGGCTGAAGACATTAGGTTTATTAATACACGCAAATTCATACAAGGACACATGTGGATAAAGGCGTTAGTTAGGTCCAGTGACAGGACCCAAAGAGTGTGAGTTCAATACCTGGTTAAGGCAGTGGAGAACTTTCAAAGGGGAATTAACAGGAGATAACTGATATTCATTAGATATGACATGTGGAACTAGAACAGTCTACCCCAGTGAGCGAAATAAAGGGTTCAGTTCAACATTCCAACCTCCTGAAAGAGACCGGAGCGTACAACTGCCGAAACGGTGTGATAACATGGCGACAAAATGAGAATTTTCGGAATAATGTAAACAGTGTACATAATACTTCATCTCAGAAAGAATGAGAATGAAAAAAAATAATGATTGAAAAAAATCAATGAAGTTCTATGCTTGGCACTATTGCAAATTGTTTATTATGAAGAAATCACTGAATTTAAACCATGACTGTTTCATCTGAGATGGTCTAGCTTTTATATTATCCTTATTTGTTGACTGACAAGGAAAACTTTGAATGAAAGTTTCGATTTAGAAAATCTAAGATGGAAAATGTGACACAAGGCGTGTGAGTGGAACGAAGTCTGTTTTTTATTTTCCATATCTTAAAAGTTAAAATTATTTGTAAATATTATCGGTACATGTAAACAGAAAAAGAAAAGTTGTAAGGTAAAAATGACAGTTTATGATTTCCAATAATCAATTTATTGATCGATTGGTAGATAAAACTATATATCGATAGTACAGGTAATTAACCCTTAAACGACGGACATCATCATTCGATATTTCATTAATGATCAGCCGATATCATTAATTGATGATTTAACAATCACTATCTGTCTTTATTTCTGAGATGTGGTATTATAATTATTTATACTATTTACATTTTTCGGATTGTTGTCCTCATCTTTGTTGCCATATTCATGACCTTTCGACTGTTGCACACTCTAGTTTTCTTCAGTATTTTTCTGACAAAATTTCTTGAATGTTCAGGCCGGTAAATGTAGTTGGATAAAAATTACTGTTTAATTAAAAAAAAAAACAGAGCTTCTACTCCAATATGGGTATCCTAAAAAATAGCGTTTAAACGAAAAAAAAAACATCTATCTATCTCTCTCTATTTATCTATCTACCTCTCTCTCTCTCTCTCTCTATCTATCTATCTCTATCTATCTATCTATCTATCTATCTATATATATATATATATATTATATTTTTATTATATTAGATTATAATAAAAGTAATTTATAGCGCTACACCAAAGCGTTCATGTTACAAGATTGTACTTCGTCAGGCGATGGTAGGTAACTTGTGATAAAAAATATAATTTATTTGGGAAATTTAAAAACAAAACCTTAACTCTTTTCGGAATTTAAACTTCCGACGGGAGGTAAGTTTGTTTTCAATTTCAAAATCATTTATCTGTGATTATCTATACAACAGCTAAATCAAAATGATAAAAACACTTAAAGCTTTTGCAAAAACGATCTCAAATGTTTCATTATAATCTCTTATAATAAAAATATAATAATAATAATAATAATGATAATAATAATAATAATAATAATAATAATTTGATGTACTTTGTATTGAGCACCTTTTTTTTTAAAAAAAAAAGTAATTTCTACGAACTGTGAAATTTTGCTCCATCTGTCCTGTCAATTATTTGGTTATACGTTATTTTTAATATATATATATTATTTCGTTTTATAATATATATATATATATATATATATATATATATATATATAATATATATATATATTTAAATTATATAGGTGCAATTTAATTTATAATTACATGAATCATTCATGCAAAAAACAAATATAGAGGTTAATGATTTAAATGGCGAGAATACATCTTCGCAAACAATATAAATAAGATACACCAACCCCGAACCTGTATATGAATAATATGATCCCTGTTTATAAATTCCAGTTGTATAAGGTCTTTTTAATTTTTTATAAGCTTTCGTCTGTTCCTAAAGACATCCTTAGGTATGGAAATAGATTTTGTTCTTGTTTTTACTCCTCGGTAATAAGAGGACAACGAAAATATAGATGTAATCTGAAAAAATGCTTTGTTTTTTGTATGAATGATTCATGTAATTATATATATATAAATAAATATATATATATATATATACAATTACACACATAAAATATATATATATACACATCATCATTATTTTACAAGATAAATAGATTACACACACATATTTCAAAAATATAAACATATAGGTTTTTACCTTATATTTATAAACATATATATATATACATACATATAAATATATATATATATATACATACATATATATATATATTAATATATATACATACATATATATATATACACTACATTATAAAATAAAATATATATATATACACCACATACATATATATATACATACATATATATATATACATACATATATATATATACATATATATATATACATACATATATATATATACATATATATATATATACATACATATATATATATATATATACATACACATATATATATACACACACACACACACACATACATATATATATATATATATATATATATATATATATATATATATATATTTTAAAATTAAATATGCATCTATCATAATAAAAATATTGGAATGTAAATTGAAATTCTTACATTCTTTCTGGAAGGATCCATATATTTTGACAATTTTTTAATGCCAACATTGGCCTATGTTCTTAAAACGTTCACGTAGTTTTAAAATCCGTTGCCTTTATTTTTCTTTCAGCCACATGCCCGGGCACACACTCTTATATGTTCAGTCGTCTACTTAATATTATTGTTTTTTGAAGACACCCACGCCACACCAGTACATATATATGTGCACCTTGCATTTTAGGGTGGCCATGTATCTGACGATGGTAGAACTGTGGTTAGTGGTGAGGGATTCCAGACTGCACGGGGCGGGAAAGGTGATATCGAGAGGCGAATTGGAAACAAGGCGAAGAGATTTTTTTTTTTTTCTGTTTCTACTTCCCCGGAACGCGAATGCATTTCCGGTCAATTTTCAAACGCGGCAGACGATAGAGACTGCAGACTTAATGTCCTCCTAATGTACATATTGCCTCATTTGATTAAGGCCTTTTTCCAAGCTGTATGGTGTACGTGTGTGTGTGTATGTGTGTGCGTATGCAGGGGGGGGGCGTTACATCGACACTAAAACGCGTCGATCTTTGTTTTCTCCGACGTTTTCTTCTTCACGTCATCTTTCTCTCTTTCTCTTTCTCAATCATCATAATCTTTCCTAGTTTTTTTTTTTTCTTTCTTCCATTTTGGCTGTAAAATAGTGATGGCTGAGAAGAGTATAAAGTCCTGGGTAATATTTGGCCGTTCGAGAAAAGGAAGCGTGGACAAGCATTTTTATTTTATTTTATTTATTTACGTATTTTATTTATTTAATTTCGTTGCCAGTTTCTTTGTCGTCTGTATTTTTAATTTTATTTTCATCTTATGTCAGAGAAAACTTTTATATTATTATTATTATTATTATTATTATTAATATTATTATTTCTATTACAATTATTATTCTATTATTATTATTACTTTTATTATCATTATTTTATTATTATTATTATTTTAATATTATTACTTTTATTATTGTTACTATTTTTGTTATTATG